TGTCCCGTGTTTGCGCCCAGATTAAGGACCGGCACAACGGCAACATCATGCTGACTCGTGACGGCCATCTGGTGCACATTGACTTCGGCTATTTCATCTCCTCATCGCCGCGCAATATGGGCTTTGAATCGGCGCCGTTTAAGCTGACCACTGAGTTTGTCCAGGTGAGCTGTGTGTGACGCATAGACAGATCTAAGTGAAGTGTGTTGCGTTTAAGCACTATCACTTTGTATTTGCATACCTTTGTATAACTATCACTATGTATTTGCATACCTTTATATGTCTATCACTTCGTATTTGCATACCTTTGTATGTCTATCACGTTGTATTTGCATACCATTGTATTTATATCCTTTGTATTTGCATACCTTTGCTTGTCTATCACGTTGTAACTGCTAGACCTTCATGCAGTGTGCGCTTGGATTAGCTAAAGTCCGACTCTCGCTACTCCGTGCACTTTAGGGTTTTGGGTTTACGGTTTAAAGTGCACCTCCGTGCACTGCCATATGTATCTTTAGAGTTTTTGGGCTTAGGTTTAGTTATGCCGTGTCTGCTTCTCTGCGTTTGTACCTATGCCTTAGTACACAAAGTACACACATCCAGGCAGTCGCATTCTCACACACACTACACTTGTAGTGGCTAAACCGTTGACTCTCCTGTGACATTCGTACGCTTTGTTTTTATTCATTCAGCAATACTTACCCTCTGGCTGTGGTCGCTAACATATATATATATGTGTGTGTGTGTTGGGTCCTATATGCGCAGGTGATGGGTGGGGTGGATAGCCCTGGCTACCGGAAGTTCCGAGATCTTCTGTTCATCGGGTTTGTCACGGCCAAGAAACACATGGAGAACATACTGGTGCTTGTGGACATCATGCAGAAAGGTAACAACCCAACCAACCTAACCAACCTAACCAACCCCCGTCCCGCACTACGCGCTCGCGTTTGTTTTGTTTCCTGTGCGCCTGTCCTGTCACGGGTGTGATCGTCTAGGGATATCTACCTATACTTTGTCGACACCTTCCTGAGGTCTATAGGTGTACAGGTTCGATGCATAAGCGTGGTGCTGGTCCGTGTACTCGGCTGGAATGGTAACTATACGCAAGTCCAATCCATGCCTGTACCGTTTCCGTGTGTGAGGATCGTTCATATCTTGCCATGCACACACCAAGCCATCGTTGTACTGTGGTCTCACAGGGCATCAGTTCGCACGTATCACATGTGCAGGGTGCCAGTCTTGCGCATCGCACTAACTGACGTGCATTCGCTTATGACAACGTGCTTTCAGGGGGTGCAAGTGTCAGCTGTCTTTGTAGCTGCTGTCGCTCGCATTGATATAATATGTGTTTCTCTGTAGGTTCTGATTTGCATATTGATATGATATGTGTTTCTCCTCATGTTCTGATTTGCGCATTGATATGATATGTGTTTCTCTGCAGGCTCTGATTTGCGCATTGATATGATATATGTTTCTCCTCATGTTCTGATTTGCGTATTGATATTTCTCTGCAGGTTCTGATTTGCGCATTGATATGATATATGTTTCACCTCATGTTCTGATTTGCGCATTGATATGATATGTGTTTCTCTGCAGGTTTTGATTTGCGCTTTGATATGATATGTGTTTCTCTGTAGGTTCTCATTTGCGC